ACTTCAAGACATGTTGAGGTTATAATTTAGCCATTTAAATCAGCTGTGTTGGATCAAGGACACATCTAAAACATGGAGGACACCGGCCCTCGAGGCCTGGAGTTCGACACCTGTGGTTTAGGTATTGTTGGAGTCACTACGAGGTTGTATGGAGCCTTTATTGGTCTCTGTTCAGGTTTTCAGTGGTTCAGGGTTTGCTCTCTCAGATGATTTCTTTGTTTGTTTGTTTGTTTGTTTGTTTGTTTTAGGAACCTTTCTGATTTCTAGAGCTATCCCAAACACAGTCGTCTGGGCTCCAGAGTTTCACAGCAAATACTCAGAAGATATTTAAGGATATTGGTAAACAGCTACACCTCTGGCATGATAGGTGGATCCTAAATGCAAAATCTGGGCTGTTTGGTGTTCACATGTTATTAAAACAACAGGCAACAACACAAGGTGTGGCAACAGTTGACGCTGCACCATCATCAAAACCCTGGAAGAATGTGGTTTGTCCTTCCTGCAGAGCTGCCGTTTTAAAGTACCAGAAATTAAAGGGCTGGTGGTCAAGTATGAGATGCTGAGGTTTAATAAACTATGCTGGCTGTGAGGCGTGGTTTAAAGTTACTGAGTCATTACTCTGTCTGTAGTTACCTGATATTGGAGCCTGAGTTAAGGATTTCTTTTGGCTGGTTCAGTGCTTCCTGTTGCTCTTTGGAGCTTCTTCTGCTTGGGTTGCCAGCAGGTCGTGTTCACTGACTCACCCCCCGTCTGGGGAAAACATCCCTCATGCCAAGCGTGACTGGATGAAGGCCAGAGGTCACTTCCTTTCTACAGCCAGCGGCTCTGCCTGGCTGCTGCCTTAGCTCGGAGGTGTTGACTTGTGTGAAATGTGAACAGCTTCAAGCAGCAGCCTAAACATTAATTCACACACTTGAGTTTCAGCTGTAAACTCTGAATAATGACTGCTGACATCGGGTAGTAACACCACAGAGGAAGTCTTAGTCTTTTTATAGGAGCGCAGAGTTACACATGAGTAATTCGGAGAGGCTAGACAACAAGACCACAAACACCCATCTTCGGGTGCTTGCCATCAGAGAAGCTTAATTACTTCTGCAGTAATGTCAGTTCTTTATGAGATGTTTATTTATGAGAAGTACCATTTTAAAAAAAAAAATAATAATAATAATTGTATTTACCTACCAGAACCAGTGATAAGTATTCATTTATTTCCATTATTTGCAGGTTTATTCAGACTTGTCCTCTCAGTCACTCTAAATTAATTTTTTCTCCTTTAAATTGGACCCATAAGAAGTGATTGTACAATTACTCTGGTTTCATCTTCATCTCAAATTAAATTAAAGCCTGAACAAATCAAAGCAAATGAAGTTTATCCTCCTGGACCGACATAGAGTTAAACTAATTAATTTAATATCTGTGTAATTTAATGAAATGCCAATACACCATCACGGAAGGGCTTTATACCCACATCATGTGGTTTGGTTACTCCTCGTCACGCTGTGTCTCCTTTAACTTTGTACTGATCTTAGAGTATTTATAATTCGATTTTAATTTTAATTGGATATACAGCAAAAGAAAATAAAAGGCTACTTATAAAATCTAGAAAGAGAATAAAATCTTAAAGTCTGATCTTTAGAGAGGGGGACTTTTTAAACAGACGGGAGGTAAAATAGACCTATATATTTATAGCAGAAGGTCATTAAAAAGGCTAAAAACTAACTGCGGACAGCCGTGTTAAA